GGGGATTTGATTTAAATGGCTAATTTTTAAAATAAAATTGTCAATAAAACTGCTTTAAAATCAATTAAAATAAATTTAAATTTAATTTTTAATAAAAATTAAAAAGATTTATAAAAGAATTTTAGTTAAAAGTAAAGTTTTTATTAGGACTTTCAAATCCAGTTTCAGGCAAAATTATGTGCCGTTTTGTTCTATATATTGAATTTTCTTCTGGTTTAGAAGTTTTGATTCTGTAAGAAAATGTTCCTCATTTCAAGGCCCACTTGGATTTGTAACATTCATTAAAATATTAGCTTGTCAATTTCCAACAATTATAGAAAACCCATAATGGCAATAAAAAAATACAGACTAATAGATGAGCATAGCCAATATTTATTTACCTTGACCGGATTCCAAAAACCTTGCCTATATATTTTCTAATTATACATAATGCCCGATTTGATGGATTTGATAGTCCACCTAATAAATCTTTGATTTTTTTGGGTAAAATCATTTTATATAAAATGAGGCATTTTTTATGACTCAACCTGATATTAGTTTTTAAATACTGGACAGTTGGATCTGACTTACCTTACATTCCTTATAAAAATAAATATTAACTTTAATTTCAAAATTAATTTTTAAAAATTTTTAATAATTCTTTAAATAGGTAAATGCATCAGGCATTTCCCTTAATTTTTATTCTATTTATTTTTCTGCTAAGATTTTCTTATAATGCGACCGAGGATAAAAAACTTGTAAGTTAAAATTTATATAAAATATTCAATTTAATAAAAATATAACAAATTTTTCTGATTAAATTTAAAGCTGAAAACTTTACAAATTTAGGAAAAATCTTTAACTTTGACGGATTGGATGGAAAATTATCCAGAAGAACAAGAAACAGGAAATACAGGAGTTAGTAATATTAATGCCGATGATCACGATAAGGTGGTAACTTAACATTTATAAATACAGCTGTATCTCTATTCTAAAAACCTAGTATTAGATAAATAAATAAATATTTATTCACTGAAAAGGTCCTTATAAAAAGTTCGCAATAATTTGCCGCGTTTGTTTAAAATTTGTCGCGCACATTATTCCTTAGAGGTTCTCTTTCAGATCCCAAAATTTGGGGATTTTTGTTTAGATATTCTCAGAGAGTGGTCGAAAACATTGATATTCTTTCAATTATGGAGGGAGGGGGGGGGGGAAGATTTTAATTTCATGAAACATATTATTTTAATGAATAGTTGATTAAATACCTCCTAATTTAACCTTTATAATGCTCAACGAGAATAAACAATTGACAATAGACATTATATTATAAGAAATAATTTAGTAAAGTGGTTGGTCCCGTTTCCCAGTGCCCGTTAAGGATTTTTAAGCACACAGAGTATAGGAAATAGGTGAATCGCACCCAGTGGAGGCCCTTACGTTTTTAAGGTGATCCCCTCCTTACAAAATCAAGACACAAAGGGTGTCGTAGAAGTTTTGTTCGTTTTATACATATTTAGTATGAATTAATAATTTTATAAAATTTTATTTTAAATTTAGGATTTCACTTTTCCTCAGCTAAAAACAGAAGCAAGCAATGAAACATATAATGATAAAGTAAGGAGGTTGATGGGTTAAATAATTGGGCCTTAAACAATTTTTGTAAAATTAAACATAGTGAAACTAATTTATAAGAATTTGTCTTGTTCATGTACATAAATCTCTATTCACATTTTTATTAAGTTGGAATCAGCTATACGGTTTTTATGTATTTAAAACAGCCCAATTTTTTTATAAAATTTTAATTTTTTAATAGTTAACAGCCGAATCTTTTATATAAATTTTTATTTTTAATAATACTCTTTAAATTTAGTCGTTTCCAAATATGGGTAACAATTTTTACTTCGACAATAAGGTAAGCAATATCATCTAATTATTTCATAATTAAATTGATGTCTAAATCATTCTAAATTAGATATTTAGATATCATACTCGCTCGAAACTTGTTAAAAATGAAATGTTTAAAATATTTATCTCGAATCTCTATCTACCTACAAGTCCTTGCTCTATAAGTCCTTCCTTCCTCACTTTTCCGAGTAATTGTTAATGTGATAAATTAATTAGAGTATTTTACTTTAGCATACTGAAATTGTTCCTCTTTCAACTAGGAAAATTGAGATGGAGAACCAGATGAAGGTGTCTAATCATGAAATGAAAGGTATGAACATAATTAACATTATATCCCAGTCTTGGTGAATTGGGAAGGATTTTTTTCTAGTCCAATTAATTTTTACTAAACCAATACATATAAATCAAATCAAGTTATGTATACTCTTCTCGTTTTCAATAATATTTTTGAAAGGAATAGATTTATGTCTAACCCGCATAAGTCCCCAAATTATTTATGATCTTAAGCTAAATACAGTTTTATTAAAGATAAAGACAGTGAGGATGAAATCAGTGAAGATGAAGATTTTTCTTTCAATATTAGTTCAAATATCCAAGGTCCAGTAGTTAAAGAAACAAAGGAAAAAATAAGAGATAGAAAGTACAATGAAAAAGGCCAAAATTTATCACAGGATCGCTCAAATCGTAATACTCAACAAAGCATACAAAGTTCTTTACATCCTCGTGCTAATACAAAAATAGTGGATAAAGTGGATAACAAAGGGTGTTTCGTATGGTCTTTCAATTTGCAAAAAAACAAGGAAAAGACCCGAGAAGGTAAAGAAGTAGATAAGAAAATAAGAAATCAAACGTATACTGGTAAAAGAGTAAATAACGGCCCAGGTTTCGAACAATGGCTTAACGAGAAATCGTATAATGGTAAAAGAGTAAACGAAGTCCGCGATTTCAATCAGTGGCTTAACGAGAAATATAATCAGCCACCAACAGTGGATATTAACTGTTCACTATGGAATATGCGGAAAAACAAAAAGAAAAATGAGAAAAAGAAATTACAACATGCTAATCCCAGACAAACTAGTGGAGATGCTAGTAACAAACGCAACTTTCAAAGAAAAGTTGGCAAGACTAGAACCATTAAGTTATCAACCCCAAAACGTTAAAAATCTAAAGTTTTTATTAAAATTTAACTTTAAAAAAGTTACAATTTTCAGAAATTTTAAGCGTTGAAAGATTAACTGTTCCCATGTTATTATAACAAACAATTATGTAAAACCTATCTCTATTAACGAATTTTTTACAGAGATAAGTCCAAACTCTTTAAATATACATATATCACAACATTTATTTTTAAAAATTTCAGTTTTTCCAAACTTTCGTTATTTATTTAATGTATTTATATGATCTTTAAGCTCTTACTGTTGGGATTGGCTTTTAGTTTGGAAAAAGTCGTTTCTTTGATCGGGGTTCTTGTCAAGAAAAGAGAAGGGAGGGGGGTTGGTTCGGGGTTTTAAATTTTTTCTGTATTGGGTTTCGGGTCGAGAAAAGACTATGTTTTGGGTCGGGTTGCTCCTCTGATTTCCTAAATCATTCCAAATCCTCTGATGACCACGATTAGTGTTAAGAAGGATATCGGGATTGGGGGTAAGTGATGGCATATTTTTATCTGTCTATAATGTACATTTTTTTTATTGTGATAAAACTGTTTGTTAGATTTGCTTATCTTGTTTATATTTTTGTTTGTACTACGGTATTCGAGTTCAAGACAAAACAAGTTAGATTGCCTGTTTTCTTCCACAGGGGTCTAACAGAGACATTGATGATTTAGTGATTAAAAGAGAATTGTGGGGATTAATTTACGCGTTAATCTGTTGGAAGATAATCAAATACGAAATTGATTAACTTCGAAATTAGAAGTTAATCAATTCCGTCACGGGATCCAAGATATGCGATTTTTCCACAATGTTGAGGATTATAATCTGATATAGGTATTTTTAGAAATTCCAGATTTTCATTCAATCCGTACAATGATGATTTTGGCGAATGATAGGACATCAAAGGTTTATTCCCCATAAATTTTTTCAACATTTATGGGATGTTTAATTATTTAGAAATTTTAAAAAGCATCTTGACTCTCGCTCGATATGTAACCTTTTCTTGCTAGGAAAATACCTAAACAACAATCCCCAAATAATTTCAAGATAAAGAGGGAAGATGTCTAGTTATGTTTTATCAAAATTCAAATAAATATCAAAAATTAATTCTAAAAACTCCTAAATTTTCGCCCTCTTGTCAATACTATAAATTTGTGATATTTTTAAAATCTTGCGTGTGTTTCTGCGGACAGGTTTTTTGAGAGGAATGAGTTATTTAGAGGAGTAATAATCGATTACACGCTTAATTTTATGTAAAAATAAAATGCGAGGAAGATTTATTCGTTAACTAATTTTGAAATAATTTTTCGATTTATTTTCGAAAATTAACAAAGATAATTAATTAACTAAATATTTTTTATAATATAATGATTTTCTTTAAAATATTATTAATTATCAACGTCATTTCGATTACGCAATCTAAAATTTTGGCAGAAGAAAAGGCAGGCAAAATATTTTTGAAATAAAAATTTTTGATTTGATTTTATTAGTATATCCCGCACCAGGGATGTCACAGGTTGCTAAAAAGGTTGGATCGAATTGCTGGTTAGGTTTTAAAAATTTTTCCTATCGAATTTCAGCTGGAAAAAAATCAGGGTATCTAGTACCTAGGGATGTAGGGTTGACATGATCAAAAGGTGTGATCAAAAAAATTTGACGCGATCTATTGAATTTTAATTCTTTAAAAATTTTTTAACTATGATGCCCTTTTTAATTATATATTTTATGAATAATAAAAGAGGAGTATAATTTCTAAATATACTAATTATAGTGCATTACTTAACGATCCTGTTAAGTATTATTTGCAGTTCTGCAGGAATAATCTAACTAGACTGACACTAACACCGGCTTTTCTATTATGAGAATAAACTGATTATGAACAAATACTGAAAATCTAATAAAATACTCTGAACTCTAAGTTAAGCTGAATCTGAGGCTTAAATGGTAGAGAGCATGATAAGAAAATCCTAAATTCATATCAAAAACAAAAATATTTATAAATTATTTTCAGGCCGATTTAAAAACTCTTTTATTTGTCACCGCAGTGTGGAGACATGGAGATAGAACGCCAACTACTTTATTACCTTCAGATACACAAAATACTGTTGAAATGATAAAAGTAGGCTAAAAATATATTTGGGGAATGATAATTTAGTTATATTAAACTAAATTTTTTCGTTTAGGTTGGTTGGCCAACACAAGTTGGTTGGTCAATTCCTTGACATAGTCATTTAAAGTTTGTCCAAAGCCAAAGATAAATGAAAATATGGATATTAACTTGGTGAAGGGTACACTCCGCTGCAACGCTCTCTTGTACCTCAGCCCAATGTACCGCAAGCCCAATTAAACCCAATCCCAGACAAAGAATTTCAAATTTTCCGTATAACCATTTAATTATTTTAGGAAAAATTTGGCGGACTTGGCCAATTAACTGAATTGGGCGCCTTACAACATTTTAAACTTGGAATTTTACTCAGAGATAGGTATAGAGGGTTTTTATCTGACGAATATTCCAAAAACGAAATAGGATATCGCTCGAGGTAGATAATAATAAATTATAAAATTAAAAATTAATCCTCGTTAGACAGTTACTTGTTGTAAAGTTTTATCGAAGCTAAAATGGTCCCAATGTGCTAAATTTCTTAAAATTATATTAGACAATCACCTGGGTTGTCGTTAGTCGATAATGGGATTAAATGAATATTTCTAATGAAAAAATAAAATTACTAAAATTATGTATTGCCCAATTATTATTAAATTGAAAAATACAAAATAATTGCCCATTTTTCATAAAACAAAATAAAAATTATTTAAGCTACTATAATCGAACGAAAATGAGTATTTTAGCAAATCAACAGGGAATGTTTGCATCAAATGGACAAAATGCCCCAAAATTACCCTTAACAGAAAATGTCCCAAAAACTGGAATAGTTATTAAATATTTACAAAAAGGAGAAGATCCTTATGTTTTTGATGAAGTGGATTGCCCTCTTGCTAAAAATGCAGATGAGCAAATATTCGAGAGTGAAGAATTTAGAGAGGTAAATGTAATAGTATAAATATTGTTGGAAACATACGAATAAAAATTGATGGCGGATAACCGAGCAGCAGCTAGCTTTGATGGACTTTAATTTTTAATTCAAAGTTGGATGGCCCTTTTGCCTCATTTGGGAGGCATTTGCCCCCTATTTGACCTTCTCGCCCCCTTTTTGATCTTTTCTGAAAAAGGAAGAAATCTGTTCGACAAAATAATTGCAATCATCGAGTTATACTTCCTTAATAACTGATTAGAAAAAATATACAGATTATTGAAATCTCTTGAATGATATAATATTTTATTGGATAAAGTCTTGAAAAGTTAGAATCAATCATTTGGATTTAACCCGGAAACAGTTTACCCGTATAATAATCTAAATTTTATTTTAAATTCATAAAAGATAGAATTAACAAATCAACCATTTCTCCAATATATTGCAAATAATTCTGGTTTATTTAATTTAACTCTTCGTTATATTTATAAAATTAATGATCCTTTAACTTTTATTTTTGCACATCAAAATGACGGATTTAAACGTCCTAGTTGGGCAACAGAAACAACTAGAAAAGAAATTACCAGACTATATAGTTTGAAAGTAAGTTTCTCTCTTTACTAGTGTTTTTTTATTGAGCATTTGTGTAACCTTGAAGAGACTGATGAAAAAGTTCATTATATAGAGTATTCCGTTAAAATATGTAATTTCGAAGGGAATTCCTTGTAAGGAACTCGAGGGGTTCTGGGTATCAATATGGGCCCGTCCAGTTTAGAAATGTTGAATAGGTGTGGGTTGATGGCATCCCCAAAGGCGCTGAGAGTTATTCGGTTTAATGGAAATCGGACGATCCCTTGTCAATTACCAAGTTGATCGAACACACATAACGATTGAGAAAGAAAGGTTCCACTTGATTCAAGACAATTATGTAAATTTTCCCTAACATCATTTAGATTTTACAGTCATATGGCTACTTAGGTTTCCATGAATTTTTACTCTAATTCTGGGACTAATCTTTCTTTTCCCGATAATGTTAATTTTTCATGTTTATGTAGGATTTAATATTTAGAATTAAAGCTATAACGGATTCACTTGACATTCCTAAATTGATTTAGGTAGTGCAAAACATATAAAATATTTTAAAAATTAGATGAATTTATGGATCAAAAGTTAAAAAGATATTTTAATTATTTTCTAGAATTCGTTTGATTTCAAAACAGAAAAGCAAAAGCGTTTACTTTCTGGCCTCCTTTTTACAGAAATTTTGAATAGAATGGAGAATATCGCTTGTGAAAACAAATTTGGGAGAGAAGAAAAGTTTTACGCCTATTCTGGACACGACGGAACTGTTGCTGGTTTACTTGCAATTTTTGGAATTAATTTAGAGGTGAAATGCTTTAAAATTTGAACGAAGCACTGTTTGCAGTCCATTTTAAGAAAGCAAAGTTCTTTTGGAAGAATATATAAATGGAAAAAATTATCCAGTATGTATCGGACTGGATTTTACATAGTAGTTGGCATGTCTTTTCCACGATATAAGGACAACGGAATATATATGGATGCCGTGATCGAAACCATTATTATAGTTAAATCTAAAAAATTTTTTGACCGAGAAGAAACTAGCTGAGCTACATCTTCTCAAAAATTGAGCTTCGAGCTTGGTTATCTATCCTAAAGAACAAACTCGATATAAAAATAAAAATTTACAGGTGGTCTTTATATAATAGTAAAGGCCAACATATAAGAAATGTATTAAACATAATAAATAATGAAGATTTTAAAAAATTCAGATATTCCCGAAATTCTCAACTGCTTTACTAATTGAATTACATAAACAGAAAAATAAATCTGAAGATTTAGAAAAAAATACTACAACATTTTTTATTCGACTTTTCCATAAAAACGAAACTGATGGAAATGGTCTATGGGAAATTGAAATTCCCGATTGCGGAAATATTTGTAGTTTGGAAAAATTAAAAGAAATAAGGAGAGAATATATTATTGAATTGAAAGAATGGAATAATGAATGTAAAAATAATAGTGATTTTATATTTAATGATAAAGTTAATAATATGTAAAATTAAATTACTAATTTTAAACACATCTTATTGGGACTCGCTAATCTCATTATTTAATTAAGAATCTGAATACATAGAAATACTTGAACTAAAATTTCTCAGATATATTTTAACATAATATTTATTAAACTTTATTGAAATTGTATAGCGACTATGATGAATGTAATTGTGTAAAGCATATAGCTATTTAATTCCCAAGGCTGTGCATGGATTGATAACTCATTATCTGTATTATCAACATATGCCTAAACTATGTTTACCGTGCGTTTCACGACCCAACTAGGCCAGGAAAAAAATATGAAAATCCATATAGGTAAATCCCATCCCTAGTTAATAGAAAATCCGTCTGATATCGCAAAATCAAGATGGACGGGGGATGATGAAATCAAAAGTGCCTTTTATCGTTAGCATCAATAGATAGTTAAGAATAATAAAAAATAATCAAAAATTAAATTTAGAAAATCATTTCAAATTCAATTAATGATTAATAAAAATATTTTTATTTTATTACAATTTTCTTCTTTGTTGTCATAAATTTGGTTATTTTTTATTGAATTAAAGAATTTTCACTCTTTCTTTAGTTACTCCTTCCTCATCCAAATAAAATTCATAACTTCCTAACGTCAGCAATGGAGTTATTGAGGCAACTAATGTCCGTCCGGGATTATTTTCTAACGATTCATCATTATTTACCGTTATTTGGCCATCCTCATTATCATCTAATTCTGTTTTTAATATAAATATTAAAATGTATTGTCTCAAATTTTCCAATAAATATTTCTCTAAATCATTCATTTTCTTAAACATTTTGGACACACATCTTTCCTCATTTGCTTTTTTAATTTTAACGTAGAATTGAAGCCAACACTCACAATTTTGTTTCGCTACAATTATAAAATAATTCCCTGGATTTTCAAATTTTAAACAAATTTCAATGTGAGAATATTCCATTTTAGCCTCTTGTTTATTAACCTTTAATGAAGATGAGTCGGTAAAATTAACTTTTCCATGTCTTTCTCTTTTTAAAATTTTTCTAGGTCCATCAGGATTCAAAAAACATATAAATCTTGTTAATTTATTAGGGTTTGATGGATTTGTCAATAAAGATGTATATATCCCTTGTATTTCTATATCCATAATTTGATTATTATTATCATCGTATCTTAAATTATCAACTTTCAATTTATTTACTTCAAAACTGATTTGTGCGGAAATCAAAGGCTCTACGGTTATTAGAATCTAAAAATGGAATAAAATTTAAATAATTTTTAAGTACTTTTATCCAAACTAGGACACGGATACTGGTTTTGGTATCCGTCTCCGGATATTTACGGCGGATACAGGCGGATACAGACGAATATATACAATATCTGTATCCATATAATTATCCATGTCCTAGTCTTCTTTTACCCTATCCACAATTTCTGTTCCATCATTATCATTTAAAACAATGCTAATAGTAATTACTTCTAAAAAATTAAATAATAATTCAAATAACATTAATTTTTTTCCTTTAATTCCATCAATCACACTTTTATTAAGTGAAAATTCTCCTATAAGTAAATTATGAATGGGTGCATTCATAATTAAGGTAATTTTATCTTTCTCAATATTTTCATCAATTTCACACACAATTTCAATTTTACTTTTTATTTTTCCATCTACAACTATTTTGGTAAATTCCATTCTCAATAAAATTACTTTAGAGGATCCATCCTCATTTTTATTAACTTCTGTAGGGATAACCAAAAATCGTTCATTAATTTGTAAATTTGAAGAAGAAAGAGTAAACAAAAGGAGAAAATAAATAATTTTATTGTTCATTGAAAATTAAAGTTTTTTTTAATTTTTAAAATAAATATTTACTTTTAAGCCCTATAATAAATAAATTTTCTTTTATAAATGCCGTTTTCTTGACATTAAGAAATTATTTTTTCTCATTTGATAGACTGCCCTTTGATTAAATTTTTATTCTATTACCAAATTAATTTGTCTATATTGGGAAATAATGCCCTTTATCTAAGATTTTGCCTTTTTTGTTGATACATTTAGTAATACATCTCACTTATCTCACTCTAATTCTTACATATTTCGGCTTAATTTGGTTCTAGGGGGGCACTTAGGTGATTAGAAAGTCTCAGAACCAAAAATTTTCTAAGGCGCAAAAACAAAAAATAGAATTTCATCATCAATCACATGTAAATACATTAAATAATCAAATATTTGAAAAGCATATGATTTGAATATTACCAAATATTATTGCACTTTTTGTTTACAAAATTATGTAATTTTGGTTTGGATCATGCGTCTCATGAACTTTTAAAAGTCCAATGAGCTTAATTTTATATCAGTGATTTAAATATTTTTAATATGTAATTTCAAACTTCCATCTATTTTATCCGATTTCAAGCCTTCTTGACAATTTTAAAATTGTTCATTATGAAATAATTAAATCATTTCTTTAAATCGGTTTCTATTTCGATATTTCAGAGGTTTTCGATTTTGAAGTACTTTTGTTTCGAAAAAGTTCTGCTTCGAAATTAAAACATTTGCTTAATTTGGTCTATGGTCATATTAACGTAATTCGAATGCCTTAAGACCGAAAACTTTTTAAGACGCAAGAACACCTCTATTTCCCCTTAATTTCTGAATAAATTAACAAAAATAGACCGAAAATGCTTATTTTTAGAGCATTTTTTCTTTAAAATATTTTTCCAGTAAACCCCCGTACCCCGACCCGAACCCCGAGCATATTTTGCTCCCCCGACCCGAACCCCGCCCCGAAACAATTCGAAAACCCCGTACCCCGACATACCCGCCCCCGAACGTTCGGGGTCAAACCCTAGTTTCTATACCCTAAGCCGAGATTTGAAAAAAATTAAAATTTTTTCAATATTTATTATATATCCATATCCGTCGTATCCTGATATATCCGCGGATATCCGGATATTATCCATATCCATGATCTGGGTAAAACTATTGAAGTAAATCCATCACATCTTTTTGAACCTCGAAAATATGCTGATAATTTTTGAAAATAATTTTAAATTTTATTAATCCCATCTATTGAATAATCCTTAATTGTTTATCTAGCTAATTATTTGGTTTTTTTAATTAAATACAATTTAATTTATTTATAAC